CCTTGTTGAACTCCATGAGGTTCAATATAAGCAAAGGGAGGTTAAACCATGAAGTTCCACCTCCTGTCCTCATTTTGAAACCCTTGTGGGGTGCCTGACTTTGCAGCTTGCTGATCTCTGCAGTTTGGTTTGTGAGGGGAACGTGGAAGTGCATCCACAGATGTGTTTGTGGTGAGAGAACATTAATATTAGAAGGAGGGGGTGGGAAGGGGAAAAAATAGCTGCTTGAACAATTTTTTTTTCCTTCTTTTTTTTCCCCTTATCTTTTTATCTTCTTGAATAAACTGTATTGGCTGATTTGGGATTCTGATGACATGGTATCTGCCCTCCCCTTTCTGGAGGTAGACGGAAGGAAGTGGGCTAGAAAATGAAATATCAGCTCCTAACCTCGGGTCAGGTAAGCCAGCTCTATGCTACAATGGAAAGGATGGTGGTGATTGAACTTCACTATAAAAAGGAGACCACAGCTGGCTTTGAGACACTCAGAGTGGAAGAGGTCTTGGAGAAGGAGAACTTGTGCTCTGTCACTGTTTGCATTCGCCTAAAGCAGCTGAGACATTGCCATGGCTTTTGCCAGCTATGCTGCAGTGGTAAGTACTTCTGTTTGGTATATGTGTTAAGATATGTTTGTTGCAAGAGAAAAACCAGAATGCAGATCCCACGATGCTGTTGTCTAGGAGCAACCCATGTTGGCCTTAGTGGGAACTGGATGGGATGCTAAGTCTGACACAGCTTTTTGTCCTGACTTTTTGCTCATGGGTTTGGTGCTTGAGGGGCAAGGAGGTAATGGACTATCCATGATTTATCTGTAAGAGCAGCACTGCTGATGTGGGGTTGTAAGAGACAGCCCTTTCCTTAGACAACATGCTACCAAAATTGCTGAAATGGCATTGTGAAGTGAATGTGCATTTGAGCTTCAGCCTGGGTAGTATTTGCAGCACTGTTGACTCTTGTGAATCTATTACTAGCTTTGCATTTATCTGTCTTCTTCTCCTAAAACCTGAGCTCTTGGAGATGGCCCAAGAATCTCAAAAAAGAGTTATTTCCAGCAAGTGGCTGCTAGATGGCCAACATCTCTCCTGAGGAAGCATATGGCTTACCCAGGTTTCTAAGCTCAGGCATGGGGTCGGCTGAGTCCTTACCCCACCTTGCAGCTCATAAGACATTGCTGTTTGAACGCAGGGGAGGAGCTTTCATAGCTTGTTGGAGAGGCTCTTCTTGGTACAGAGCCAACTATGAATCAGAAATTGAATCAGAGTTTAGCATCTGTCGTGATGAGTGTCATTAGCACCACTGTGCTATTTGCTTGTGTTGGCCCATCTCACCCAAATATGAGTATGAAGATCAGCCACTGCCCAGTGCTGACTCACAGCAATCAAGGAATTCAGGATAAGACTTCTGCTCTTCATCCTTCTCCTCTTGCTAGTTATATGGTCCTTTGATGGTCCAGTCTAGTCAAGACTTGTCTCTTTGTGCTCTCTCCCTCTTGACGGAGCTGAGCCAACGACACCTTTCTCTCTCCCAGTTCAGATCACTGCTTTTGGTGCTGGTGCTAGCACTCGTTGTAAGGAGCTCACCCCATGGGAGGGCAGTTCATCCTCGACACAGCAAGGACGGTGGCTCTTTGAGGCTTAGTGAAGATTGCCTGAACCAAAAGGATCTCAAATTCCCTACGATGGTGAAAGTTGATGTTCGTATCAGCAGTTCAGATCATGCCTTTTTTGCTCTCTTGCTCCTTGGGATTACAGGTAACTGTTTAGTTGTTATCTAAACTGCTATGGCTGTACTACCTGGAATGTTTTTGTGGTGAGTGATAAGCAGTTCTCAGCATACGCCTGGAGTACTGTGAATATTGCAAACGCTTCTTGACACACACTTTCATTTTGATGTTGGGTGAGATTTCTCCAAGAGAAACAGCTTGCAGTGCAAGGGGACTTCATTAGAATGGTTTCTAATCATCTTGTCAGTCGTCATCAAAGAATTATTCCTCTAGGAAGAGAGAAATGTCAGTACATTGTAATTTTATGTTTTCATAGCTGAAATAAATTTGTGAATGCTGAAAGTAAAACAAAGCCAAACAAAAAGGAATGGTCCACTTGAAATCTGTTCTGTATTTCACCCAGTTCCACTCTGGTCATTAACTAAATAATGATATGGCAATGTTACCCTCCCAAAATTGATTCAGTTTCTAGAAAATAATTCTAAAAATGTTGAGGATAGGGATGTTCTTTTGCCTTGTCTCATAACGATACACAGGTAAATAGCATGGTCCTTTCATGGAGATAAACAGGATGTTCCTTCCAAACTGTGTTGTGCAAGTGCATAAAACCCTGTTGTGTCCCCATCCCCAGGCTTGACGAAGACCCCAACCGCTTCCCCCAGGTGATCGCTGACGCCGAGTGCCGCCTCTCCAGCTGCGTGAACCCCCTGGGACAGGAGGACCACAGCCTCAACTCAGTCCCCATCCAACAGGAGATCCTTGTCCTCCGGCGGGAGCAGCGGGGCTGCCTGCCCACCTACCGCCTGGAGAAGAAGGTCATCACCGTGGGCTGCACGTGTGCCACTCCAGTCGTCTACCACCATTCCTAGGAGGGATTAGTAGGAGAGACAACATTGGGAAGAAGAAATGCGCCTGTGAACATGCCTTTGGAGAAATCCCACTGTCGCCCACCTTGCATCCCAGGAATTCAACGTGACATTCCCTTTCCAAATCTGAGCAAATTACCTCCTTAAAGTTCTGATTCCTGTAGTTGTTCACATATGGATTTTAGAATGGGAATCACTGGTACCTGGTGATGGAATGGAGAGAGGGGGATGGAGGAAAAGTTTTGTTTGTGACTCCAAGCAGGGAGGGAGTAAAGCAGGGCCTTTTTTTTTTTTTTCATTGTGGCTTATATCAGCTTGGTGAATCAAATGAATTATAGTTACAAAAGTTGTCCTTGGCAGTGAATTGCCCTAATGTGTACATAACCAGCACTGCCACCAAAAAAATCCCTCCTCCTGCACCTTCTCCTTCCTTTCCTCATCCCCTGGCTGCTTTTCCTTGTTTGGCCATCCCTTCTCACTGGCGTATTGCTAGTGTAAATCTGACATAAGTGCTACAAGACCTGATTATCATTGGACTTTGGGTTTGTGTCATTGCTGCTCCATGGGGAGCAGCAGCTGATTTATTCCAAAGCATTTTGGGAGAGAATTGAGTCCATTTGCATTGAGTGTTAAAATGGCAAAGAACTAACGAGTGTTTATATTTCTATTTATATCTTCTATTTATGACTATATTTATGGCTTCGTATGTGCTCAGAGTATCAAAAACAAAAAGTGAATGTTTATCTGTATTTATTCAATAACTTATCCACTGAATAAAATTGTATTTTATTTAAAAAAATGTTATTTTGTGGTGGCTCAGAATGAAAGCAGACACAGAGCAGAGGTTTGTGCTGCAATAGCACTGGGAGATTTCAGCAAAGATCAGACTTTTTCCGGTGCAGTGTTATGAGTAAGAGGGAGCCCAAGAAAACTTGCAACCTAAATAGATTAAAAGATGCAAAAAAGGGTCTGAAAGTGGTGAAGTGGGGTTATACGAGCAGCACTGGGGGAGTTGGCAATGGAACTAGCTTCTCTAGACCTCGGGGATGGTCTCTAGGGCTGGTGGGAAAAGAGGTGGGACACATCATTTTGCAGGGCTACAGCTGAAATTTGGGATGGGGGTGTAGCCTGGTTCATGTGAGCTGGGAAAGGCTTGTTCTATCCTCTTACTGACAAGATGTCCTAATAAACAACTTTCTCCACCAGCTGGATGGTTGGCTGAGCAGGGAGGCAGGGAAATGTGCAAATGTAATCTCCCTGTTCTTTAACTAGCCAAATATTAAGTGCTGGGCTTTAAGTGGTGGATGAGGATCCCTCCACATCAATAAAACAAGGAATAAACACCTCCAGAGCAGGATTGCCTGCCAAGCTGAGGTGTTCTGACTTAGGAAGGAGGAATTTCCCTTTCTCCCTTAGCTACACAAGGAGCACAGCCTAGCCAGACTCACTATTTATTATTTTATCAGGTTGCTGCAGTGTCGATTTTTTTGACAATACTCATCTTTCCTCCAGACCTGAGCTCTTGATTCTCAGACCTGTTACTTCGGTTTCTGCTGCTGGAGGTTTTAAGCCTGTATTTCCTTGTTCACCTGCATTTAAACTGGGGTAAACCTGTGTGCAAGCATTCTCGTATTTCATTTTGGCTGCACAGAAGCTACTTTAAATTAGACACACCTAGTGCAGGTAAACCTTGGATTTCCTCGTCTGGGTAGGCCATACAAGTCCAGATGACTCTCTTGGTGCTTGTTTGTCTAGTCGAGTGTATTCCCTGCCCTGTGGATCACTGGGAGCAAGTTCAACAAACCATGGGCAACCAGGTGGGGAAACCATCTCATTTTGTTACAAGCATTTGTATTCACATGTGGCAGCAGCTGTTTCATTATGACCACCAAGTCCTTCATGTGGTGGCGAGCAAACCCATGGAGGCGTCTTCTGTGCACTCTTGCTTAACACCAGCTCTCTTCTTACAGTAACCGCTGACCAGGAAATCACACGCTGCACAACCTGGTTCTTACTCCTGACCTATTTCTCTCTCTCGATAAACTTAGCTCGTGGGATTGTCTTCACTTGTTTTGTGGAGAGAAAACTACCCTGCATTTCCCTCTCCACATGTAATTACCTGGGCATTGGGCTAGTGGCAGCTAAACGGGTGTAAACGCCTGTGCTGATGCTCTTAAAGACCCATCAGCTCAGATGAAGAGTTGTTCTAACTGGAAGTTTTAGGAAGTAGCTAATTAAGAAAATGCAAAGCTGGTTAGGGAAGTCTCACCCGTGGGTCATGAGGTTTTGCAGCCAGCGCTATCAACTGCAAACCACACACCCCTCAGAAAGGTGTGTGCTTGTACGTGGGGATTGTTTCTAAATAAAACGGGCAGTAAGGGTTATTTCCTTCTAATGGCATCATTCTTAGAGTGCACTTGGTTGTAAACATGAGGCTGGTTATTTTTTAGGTGCTGGCTTTTGTGAGGAGGAAGGTGGTTGGCTTTCATTCCCAGCAATCTAAGAACATGGCAAACAAGTTTATGCTTCTTGTAAAGAGCACAGTCATATCGCCACCAAGAGCTAGCACAGCTCCCAGCTGAGGACCAGGCTTTGCAAAGGGCTTTGCTTGTTTTTATTCCCCTTGCAGCAATGGACCCGGCCCCTGGGTGCCCAGCTGGGCATCTCTGGCTCTGAAATGTCCCTCAGAGCAACCTTCAGGGACTGGGTTGTTTTACCAGGAGGAGAAGACATAACTATGGGTGTATAGTAGCAGTCCTGCAGCAGCATCTTCTTATAACCTGCTGGGCTAAGCCACCTTCAGTCACAGGTTGGTATCTGAGCCTCGTGGCTGTTCTTATTCCTCTCTTCTGCTTGCCTCTCACTAACCTCCTTTTCCTCTCCCCTTGCTCACTCCTCCCTTAGCTGTGCCTGTTTTGGCAGCTCAAGCAGGGATTCTGTTCTGTAGCAGCTCTCATGGGACGTTGGAGGGAGAACACTGCAGAGATCCCAGCGTTATCACGGGCTGGGAGGCACAGCAGTGATGTGAGCCCAGGTAGATGCTTCCTCCCAGGCCTGTGCCTTGACCTGGGGATGTTCAGAGGTTCTACAGGCCAGGTCAGCCTGTTGCAGAAAATCAGTGCTTTCAAAAGTGCACAGAAATTAAATATATAAAGAACGCAAAGGTTGCAACCTAAAAGGTTGAAACGACCCAAGAACAGTTTGTGTTTGGTAAGCCAGAGGAGCAATGGCTTGAAAATCCAGAAGTTGACATGGCTTGTTGACAGTTAGGCCTAACAACCAAAATTTTATACCTTTAATCTTGTTTTTAAGAAGAGTCTAGGTGTGCGGGCCAAGTCTACATCTCCTACAGCACTTCTAGAAGATGGTGACCAAAAAAAAAAAAACTTGCTTAAAATGTCTGTGATTGCCTGACGCTGCTTGGCAGGCTCAGTGCTGTTGTTGGGGCCGGGACAGTGTGCTGGTGCTGGCTTTCAGGAGCTGAGAAGATACCAGTCAGTCTCAGCACCAGAACAAACCACACTTTCTGCCTTTGCTACTCACACAAACACTTTCTCTCTGTGCTTATTATTCACCTTACTTCCAGGGCTGGATAACACTAGCGGCTTCTAGTCCTCAGCCCGTCAGATAAATCCATTCCTTCTTTCTGTGTAACTTTTCCTTTAATTTGTTTATTTTTCCCGTAGTAAACTAGCTCTTTTTTTTCCACCTTTTTCTGTAACTTCAACAAAAGATTAAAAGTATGTTTGATGCTCTTTGGGGGTTGCAGACTGAGTAGGCTGTAATCAAAATACTGTTTTCTGGGCATAGGTTTCTATGAGTGTGTTTTAGTGGTTTTAGTAGTACAAAGTGTCATGTTTCTGTTTTATCTGCTTTATCAGTAAGCACAATTTGTATCATGATCAAGGTTCCCTGTTCCAGTAAATGCACAGAGCTGGTTTATCCTCTAACTTTTGGAGTTTGCTTTTTATTTCAGAGTTCTGAAATCTGTACCCCTGGCCTCCGTCACGTCGTAAGGGTGTTGAATCTATACCACTTTTTTACAAGCACTTGCTCTCTGTCCAGCGTGCTTTGATAACTGGCAACGATGAGCATGGTTATCTGATCCTCTGCTACACAAATCCAGTCTGAAACCTCCCTTTCTGCCAGGCTTTACTCACAGGTTGCCAAGCAATCTGGCTGCTAAGCCACTGCTGCTCAGATTTTGCAAATCGGCGTGAAACTGAGAGCAGTGCTGGTGTGGAAACCTTTGTGCTGAAGAGGGTTTTGTGGCAATTTCCACCCTCTCCTTGCCCTAATGATATTATTGAAGGACATCAAATAAGCAGGAATTTGCACTGAAACTCTCCAAAACAAGAAAAAAGAAAGCTTTACCTGTCAAACCCCGAACTGATGCTGTGCAAGGGTGAAAGAGGAGTCTGACCATCATGTTTCAGCCCCACATGGCAACCAAACACCACACAGCCACTCACTCACCCCCTGGCTTGAGGTAGGATGGGGAAGAGAATTGGAAAAAACCCTTGTGGATTGATATAAGAACAGTTTAATAGGTCAGCCATGGGAGAGGAGATAATAATAATATTACTGATAAAGGAATATACAAAAACAAGTGATGCACAACACAATTGCTCACCACCAGGACCAGTGATCCACCTCCTGGCCAACTTCCCTCAGCTTGTATATTGAGCATGACACCTTATGGCATGAAATATTGCTTTGATCAGTTCAGGTCAGCTGTTCTGCTTGTTTCCCCCCCCAGCTTCTTCTCTGCAAGAAGGGGAGCAGTATGAGAAACTGAAAACCTCCTTGGCTTAATGTAAACATTGCTTGGAAACATCTAAAGCATCAGTGTTATCAGCATTCTTCTCAGCACAAATCCAAAACACAGTCCCATACTAGCTACTGTGAAGATAATGTAACTCTATCCCAGACAAAACCAGCACACTTACTCTCTTCACTGTCATGTGTTTGAACTTGATGATCTTCTTCAAGGCCAGGCTGGA